AGGGCAATTAAAACAGTCTCAAGCTGGATTATTTCTGCAGTGTGTTTTGGATCATCGTCACTTGTCTACTTATGGCAACTCCATGAATTTCATAGGATCACCACTGGCTAAATCCAATATTACTTCCAACTAGAGTAGGCTTATATAATGGGATTCAGATAAATGTGTGACTGACAAGTACCATTCATTCATTGGGTCTATTCTAATTGGAACTGATTTTGGATTTAGCTCTTTATGACAAAATTGTCCGATATAATTTAGAGAGTCACTTTAGCAGCTTATAGTTTCATTCAGAACATCAGTTTGGTATTCGTTTGGTATCAAAGAATATTCATGTCACCCTGATGTTCAAAATATTTCCTTTTTGGGAGGAGCTGGAAATGTTATAAAAAACTGAAAATGCATATTTCAGATTATTTAAAATCTTACATGTAGAAGAAATAAGCACATTGCTTTTGGCTTGGTGTTGGGTTTAAGACAGAATTCATTAAATTCAGCAGTAACATTTACAAGCCCCTTTGCAGCCTGTGTCCATGCGACATTCAGTCTACTCAGAAGGAAAGTTAAACAAGGTAGAATTGGTTCTTGATGCATCTGTCAGATATTGGTGAATTGAATTTTTTGTCTATGGTGGGAGAGGGGATTAGCATTACTAAATACCTCCCTGGAAATGGACATGTTCTGCAGAAAGATACCACCGTACCACATAAAGTAATTGCTTGGAAACTGATTGGCATGGCAAAATGTTCAGAAGATGGAAGGAGCAATAGATTTGAATTCCCCAACTTTCATCTTGTGTGAATTTGATGACTTTCCCTTTTTCTTTCATGATCATCCACTATGAAAACAGTTGTAAGGCCTCTACTTTTTCTAGCGCATGAGTGAACAAAGTGCATTCATGGGTCTCTGTTGTGGCCTTCTGGCATCTGTCCCACTCCATTTTTTAGAATCTGTCAGTTTTACTTAACTCCTACTGCATCAGGACTACCAGAGCATCCTTGGATGCTATATATTTTAATTTCTTCCTGTTGGCAGTCTTGGGTTCTGTTTTTGTTGCAGTTTTGTGTGCCTTTAAGTAGTTTCTGACTTATGGTTACCCTAAAGTGAGCCTATTGGGGGGGGGGTTCTGGGGCTGAGAGTATGTGACTTGACCAAGGTCACACAGTGCATTTCCATGGCTGAGCTGGAGATCAAACCCTGATCTCCAGAACTGTAGTCAGCGCTCAGACCACTACACTACACAGATTAGATTAGTAGTCTGTAAACTCTGGGAGACTGGGGTTCAAATCCCCACTCAGCCATAGAAACCCACTGGATAACCTTAGGCAAGTCACATTCTCTCAGCCTCAGAGGAAGGCAGTGGCAAACTCTCTGTCTTGGGATGCTTATTACCAATGGTAGTTTTTCAGAAAAAGTAGAAATCTAAATATGGTCACCTCTCCATTTTCGCGTGAGGCCCTTTTTGGACCCCCCCCCCTTCCGCAAAAATGAAAAACTGAAAATATTCAAGCCCCATTTACTTGAATGGGTGCACACTCATATGCACAGCCTTGCGTAAGTGCCACGTGTGCGCACCATTTTATCCCTCCCCACTTGCCAGACCGCAAAGGACCGAGACCATGGACTCAAAGTCTGTGAATGGGGAGGGACGACTGTAATTCTGTCTGATTTAGCATGATTTGTTTAAATGTTACATTCAAACATGTTCAAAACTTCAGAAGGGAATTATTTCATTGTAATTGTTGTACAAATGTAATAAAAATTACTGCAACTGAAAGAACACTTATTTTTTAGAACACGTATCAAAGTAGAACTTTGTTTTGTTTCACTAAAGGAATTTTGTGGGCACAGGAAACTTGCCACATTTTGTCTTGGCTACTTGTATTTGTGACTCACTTGAGAAGCAAGGAGGTTAGCAGTGTGTTCATTTCTTAGTGTTTTCTTTGAGGGCTAGAGGTTGTCGGTGCTTGTTTCCATGGAAGAATAACTTGAAGTTCATATCTTATATTTAGCCCATCTAACATGATGGGCTGCTCAGACAACTATGGATAAATGTATATAGATATATGATAAATGTAGGTAGAAACATTTTCCAAAGTGGAAACTTTTCCAATCTGGAAAAAGTGGGGGGGGGGGATTCCCCTCCACATCTCTTTCTTACTTGCTTACAAGAATGAACTCTAGGAGTGAAGGTGTGTGACACAGTATGTTCATAGTTAGTCAGGAAAGATGGTAGTTGAGGAAATAGTTGTCAGGATTGAAAGATAAATGTCATGCCCATTTTTGTATATCCTGAATTAATAGGTCCAGGTCTGGGTAGCAGGAAGAGGCCATTGGTTTTACACTTTGGACGACATCCAGTGGACCTCTGCCAAGTGGAAAAGCAGAAGACAAACATTTTCAGTCCATCTTTCTGGTGTATCCTGAACATACTTACTTAGAAGAATGTTTCTCTGCAATTACTAGAATTTCTGTAGAAGCAAATATTTGTCTGTGGTTAGCTACAAGTTAAACAACTGAATCTCATGGGAATAGTTTGAAAATAGGGTCTCAGAATGATATGGAGAATCATTTTGTTTTCCATTTAATTATGATGATTTGTAGTTCCTGGATCTAAGATTTTTGTTACTTCAAAGCAAATTCACTTTGAATCTTCCTAGCAGTACTGAGATCTAGCAGGAAGTCACAAACTGGTCTGTTGTGATGTGGGGAAGTCAGCCCCCTGTGATGCAGGCAATCTGTTTTCCTCTTGTCAAGCACAGAAAACTTTGTGTTTCAACTACATTTCCTGTTACTTATGCCTTTACTGTCTCTGCTTTGACATTCTGTTACCTCCTTCTCAGTAGACCAGGTCTAAATGTCTCATAGAGAGAACATGTGAACTTTCTCCTTGTATCATTTTCCCTTACCAGTTGGCAATGTTACCAAAGGTAGCAATGGTTTTGCCTTTTGAAACTGCTTTCTTTCGTTCCCGGACTGAGGGCCTTTGCAGACTGCCAGAAATAGTACAAACTGAGTCCACTTTAAGGGTTAGGGTTTGGGAATCATGGGAACTGTATTTTATTGTGGCACTAGAGCTCTCTGACAGAGAAGGCTCAATGTCTCAGGGAAAAAAATCCCATGATTCCCTAGCACAAACCTAACCCTTAAAGTGGACTCAATTTGCACTATTTCTGGCAGTCTGCAAAGGCCCTGAATCTCTTGATAAGATGTGTTGTTACATCTTTTACAATCCTGCAAAAACTTGGCCCTTCCCTTCTGTCCCTTGATGAAAGCTGTGGTCCACATCTCAGTATATTTCATCTGTTTATCCATTCTGTTTTAACATTGTTATATGTACTTCGGTTCTGGTGTGGAATGTGCCAGAAAGCATCCAAAACTGCTTGCACCAGAATCATGGTTTGAGCAGTGTTTTGTCCAAATAGGACAACACCAGAACCGGGATGGTAGTGGGCCTTTTGGCCTGTGCAGATAACGCTAAGGGGAAAGCCTTTCAGAAAACCACTCTTTATTTTACACAGCTTCCTCAGCAGAGCCATCTTTTCCCCTGAAGCCTTTGGCACAACCCCTTATTTTCCACAGCCTACTTTGGCTAAGCCTGTAAACAAGACTTAAGCTGAAGAGATGGGAAGTGATCAAAACTAGCTTTTCTCTGCCTTGTAAAGAACTTCAGGTTTCTCTTTCCCTGAAGTAAAGGTGATACAGGAATTGGTAACATTCTTAAAATAGTATTAGTGTAGTTTCTTGCAATGAACAATTCAAAGGTATTGAAATAATTACAAGTCAGTGGGGAAAAATATAATAGACTTAATAATAAAATGAGTGTGTTGAATAATTATGGAATAAGTTTCTGAAATTGTTAAATATTCATTGGGCAATGCATATTTGGGAGGGGGACCCAACATTTGGTAACTAGAGCAAACAAAATTAACATGAGACTGCATAAAAAAGGATGGCATGGTGATGCTAAATATAGTAATGGCAATGAGAACTGAGCTGGAGGATTAGAATGTATTCCAGATTAATTTAAAATGAAGGAGCAATGTTGATGTGAATGCCCCATGGCTACTACGATTACTAAACATTATGCAATATTCACAAAACTGACTATGCAGAACTAAGCAAGTATATTGACTATGGTAAATATTAATAATAGTATAATGCAAGTAAAAGCAAGAAAGTATGGATTTCCCCTGGGATGCGGTGGCTCAAGTGATTAAGATGCTGACTCTGTTGATTGCAAGATCGACAGGTTGGCAGTTCAAGGCCCAGGTGCTACATGATGGGGTGAGCTCCTGTCACTAGTCCCAGCTTCTGCCAACCTAGCAGTTTGAAAGCATGCAAATGCAAGTAGATGAATAGGTACCACTTCGGTGGGAAGGTAACAGCATTCAGTGCAGTCATGCTGGCCACATAATCACAGAGTAGTCTCTGACAAGGCTGGCTCTTCGGCTTAGTAACGGAGATGAGCACCGCCCCTTATGGTTGGACATTACTTGACAACCAGAAATACCTTTACTTACCTTTATGGAT